TAAAACTTGTCAGGCCTGGACCACGGGTTAGTTGTAGTAAAGGTCTGGCGTGAGTTGTGATAGGATTGGATTGGTGAGTGAGGTGGTGTGTTTTTTCTTAAAAACAGGGAAAGGCGAGCAAAGACAACCCGCAAAAATGTCAGGACCAATAACAGATGGCGAGGGGAAGGTCATGACGCTCGAGGACCTCATTGAGGCAATGGATAAGCGGGAAAGGACGTCAAGTAATGTTTCTAAAGTCGATACTTTCCACTTCAATGAGAAGCGAGTTCCCGATTGGCTGGACCTGGTGAAACAAGCCTTGGTGGGATTATCAGACGCAGTGAAGTTCCGGCGCATCCTAAAGTATGTACTTCATGTCCACCATCAAGAGGTGGAAAATGTTATTAATGCGGCCAACGGTAGTTGAGCAAGATTCAAAGATGGAATGCAGAGGAAGTATAGGCTAGGCGGTGGGCTGTTGACCACGGCGGATCTGGAAGCCATGAACAGGGAGGACTTCACCACGGTGGGGGCGTTCATATAGGAATTCAAGAAGAAGGCAAAAAAGGTTCATGGCATCTCAGAGGAAGCCCAATGCGCTATTATTTTGGGGCTGGTCACTGCCGCGGAGGCTGCAGAGCTGACCAGCCATGGAGGAGGAAGCGAGAAACTTACGTGGGCCACTTTGACAAAGGCGTGGCAGAGGGGAGTTTGAACGAGGTGGAACAATACCAGATGCGCCTGCAAAGGCGTAAGAGGAAGGAGAGGGATGCCACAACGTCGGGAACCTCAGGGGTAAGAGGGATCGTCAATGACGTACTGGCAGAATTGGGTTATGAAAAAGATGTGGTAATACAAAGAAAGGTAATGACGGCAGTTCAAGGAAGAGGAAAGGATTAAGTGGTGGAGGAAGCTGTTAAGGAAGAGTGGGAAGAGGAAGAATCTGTGCCACAACACCTCTCGAAAGCGCTACGTAAGCAGCGCAACTTAGCTCAGGGGGGGGCAAGGTTCAGGACAAGTGCAGATGCCCCAGACAGTGGTAGCCACACCGCCAAACATGTCAGCTCCATCAAGTAGTGCGGGACCATCGCAAGTGCCAGTACCACCATTCGGGCAGTGGCCGTGGCCTATGTACAATACTTTTGTACCATGGGGAAGTTCGGCTTCGCCCGGGAAGATGGTACCATACGCTGGGCCCCAAGCGAGTATGCCGCCTCCAAGCTACCCCGCCGCTCAGGCGAAACCCATGGTGCCACCTCCGTCGCCAACACCTAACTCACAAGGTAGTGTGGCTGGGGGAGGCAGTCAAGGTCAGGGTAATCAGGGGAATGGGGGGAGAGGCGGTGAAAGAGGACGTGGCAGAAATAGCGGTGGCCGAGGAGGTCAATGGGACAACCAAGGTTTCCGAGGCCAGGGAAATCAGGGTAACCAAGGGAGTCAGGGAAGCGGGATAACCCGCTTTGATTGGAGGACCGCCATATGCCAACATTGTGACAAGCAAGGTCACACCATACGGTTCTGCAATACAAGGCGAGAAGATGAAAGAATGAGACTGATTTACTCAAATATGGATGGTGACATATACGATTAGTTCGGGGAATACATTGATAGGAAGGTCCCTGGAGGAGTGAGGGCGGAAGCTCAAAGAAGGGTGGTTGCACGACAAACGCCGCCTGCCACGTTCAGATTATGGCAGGAAAAAGAGGATCCACCGATTAGGGTGGAAGAAGTGGGAAGTGATGAGGAGGTGACCCAAAGGTTGCGGGCAGGGATATAAAAAAAGAACCCATAGTCGTCGAGTCAAAGGACGAGAGGGAGGAGGAAAAGGCAGAGCCCGCGTCATTCCTGCTGGGAAAGATGGAAGACCTGTTGGGGAAGGTAGGAAGATACCACAGAGGTTCGTGGACCTCTGCGAAGAAGTGAAGGACTGGAGGGCTAATATCTCCAAGGTCTTCCTCTACGATTCCGGCCTAGAGTGGATGCCAGGGCAACCTGGGGTAACCACCGTGGGATCAGGCCCATGGTCAGGGATGATGACTAGGCCTCCTACTGCGCAAGGGAGGCTGGCACAAGCAGCTCGTACCCGAGGTCAGGCCAAGGCCAGTGCAAGCCAAGAACCTCCTCGAAAGGAGTCAGAGCCAAAGAAAAGGAAGGAGACCGTGGAGGTGGAGAATGATGACGAAGAGGAAGAAGAGGACGAAAGGTTGCGCCAAGAGGAAGATCAGAGGGCGGAGCAAAGGGCCAGAAAGAGAGAAGCCCGAGATAAGGCCGAACCGATCCTACGTGATGTGCCGCCCAAAAAGAAAAAGTATGCGATCCGGCTGTAAGAAGGGTTCGACGCGGAGAGGGTGATTGATAGGTTGCTGGAGGGTCATAACGACCTTATGACCCTGAAGGAAATTTTGGCGTCGGCCCTAAGCTCCGTGATGGATTGAAAGGGAGATTGTCACGGCGCCTGGTGCCCAGTGTCTATCTAAGTATGATTCTGCCGAAAAAGGCGGAATGGGCAGAGACAGGGATAAAAATGGACTGGAAGTGTGTGGTACGGTAGATTTGGTGGTAAAAAACTCCAGGTGTGCAGCAATGGTGGATACGGGAGCGGAAATGAATATAATCCGGGAAGCTGACTCAGTCAGGTTCGGATTGGAAATAGACTGCTCGGATTGCGGTATCCTGCATGGAGCCAATTGCAAGGCAGTATTTTGCGGGACAACCTCTAATGTACTCATCGAGGCTGAAAGAGTGAAAGCTAGGGCTTGCTTCTTCGTTATGCCTGACGCGGACGACGAAATTCTTTTGGGAAGATCCTTCTTATGCAGGACAAAGACATTGATGTTTAACAAGCATGATGGAACTCTAATCCTTATCATGTGTGACCCTGCCTGCGGTAATTATGAAGTGATCACCTACAGAAATACAGGGTCTCAAAGCATAAGGAACCGACCCAATCCCGGCCCATTCACGATTGAGGAGTTAGAGGGCGAGCGACGGAGACTCCTTGCGGAACCAGAAGAGGAGGAAAGAGTCGGGGCGTTTTCACTCAGCTTGTCGGACGTGAATAAGGTCATGGACATAGTGGCCACACACGAGATGGCGGACCCAAACGCCATCCAGGCGCTGAGGGCACAGGTCCTGGAATGTCCCCTGGTTGGGGAGTTGGAATTGGTATATCGGCTTCCAGGAGGGAGGAGGAACCCGACGTCAATGCAAGCACAAGTTGTAAGCTGACCTTTTTTAGGGGACGGCTCAAGCAGGGTTTCCAAAGGTGGTACAAGACGATAGACAAAAAGTGCCGCCCAGTTCCCGTCCTCGTTACTGAAGGTGAGGAAGTATACTACGAACATGAACGAGGGTTGATACGACAGATGGAGGAAAACGCCTCAGCTGGGCCGTGCCGTATCAACGAAGGGAACGAAGGGAAGTTGATAATAGGAGAGTCGGACTTCCTACTGCCTCAGGAAAAAACGTTAATGATAGAACTAATGAAGAAGAGGCATCACACCTATGCGTTTAGCGATGAGGAGCACAGCAGGCTGGATGTGGTCAAGATTCCTATGATCCGCATTCATACCGTGCCGCACGAGCCATGGAACTTGAGAGGGGCGCGATATCCTAATCCTGACGAAGAGAAGAAGGTGGTAGACTACCTCGACGGTAAGATACGTACGCATGTTGCCGACTACTAAAGCGGGCCGTATGCATCTCCATGATTTTGTTTCATCAAGCCTAATGGGACGCTGCGATGGGTGCAGGATCTGCAGCGGTTGAATGAGGTGACTGTGCGAGATGCGGGAGGATTGCCAAATGCAGATGCACTATCAGAATCATGTGCTGGAAGACCTATAATTTCGCTTATAAACCTTTACGCCGGATATGACCAATTTCTGGTCTATCTGCCAGACATGCCAGTAACGGCAATGCATACGCCTCGAGGGCTGATCCATATGAATGTAGGACCAACGCAGTAGCAATGGTTCAGAGGGTTATGATTCGGGTCATGCAGTCAGTCAGCCCTCATATCACATTGCCTCGAGGAGTTGGTGGTGAAAGGACCAACAGTGAAAGAAAATTACGAAGTCTTGCCGGGGGTGAAATGCTTTGTCTGGAGGCATATTCAGGACCTTGAGAAAGTCCTGAATCTGCTTGAAGAACATAACCTCACGGCAAGTAGGGCCAAATCCAGACACTGCATGAGAGAAGCTACTATCTTGGGGTTCGTCTGTAGTGAGAAATGTCGTCGGCCGGATGTAAAGAAGACGGACAAGATTATTGAGTGGCCAGTACCATTCCACTCAATAACTGACGTTAGAAGTTCCCTCGGCACATGCGGGTTTTGGAGGGTCTTCTTCAAGAATTTCACCGCCAAGACGAAACACTTGAGAAAGTTGGTTCGTCAGAATCACGAATGGGTATGGGATGAATTAGAGGAGAAAGTGGTGGCAGAAATGAAGGAAGAGTTCAAAGAAGGGGGGTTGGTATTGGGAGCACCAGGCTATGATGCCACGGAGACAAGACCTTTCATTGTCGAAATGGATGCTGGGCCGACTGCCTTAGGTGGAGTTTTGATTTAGGCAGATACAGAGGGGAAGGAGAGACCGCTACGATTTGAGAGTCGAACTCTCTATACGACTGAGAGAAATTACTCTCAGTTCAAAAGAGAGACTCTCGCCGTCCTCCATTGTCAACGAATCTTTCGAAACTATATCTTTGGCAGGAGGTTGATATTGAGAGTGGGCCCGACTGCTTTGGCCTATTCCCTAAGGAATTACGTTCCATCGGATCCGACTGTTGCCAGATGGCTGACGTATATCTTGATGTTTAACTTCGAGTTGGAACGGATTCCTGGGAGTAAGAACAGGGCGGACGGGCTAAGCCGTATCAACCGGGACAAGCAAAAGGGGCAGGCAGTAGAGAACACGCCCCCTTGATGGCTTCCTGGATCAGGAAGAGGAAATCCGTCTTCATATCAACAAGTGGTCCCCGCGGGTGCCTAGCTGCGTAGGTCATCCCATCTGACACGCGCCAAGTGGGTATGAATAAAAAGCAGAGATGATGCTCAAGTCTTTTGAAGAGGAAGATTCATGGGGCAGTAAAGACATCCAGCGGATGATGAAGTTGACACTGGCAGACACGCATAGTCTGGTAGAGGAGGTAAGAACAATAAAGGAAGAGCCAGATCAGGTAGAGAAACACGAGGAATTGATGGGAGGGATGTATCTCCTCGTCAATACGCTTCTGCAAGGAGACTTTCATCGGATAGGTTCGTTGAATCTGGTTGAGAATGAGGATGTGGCGCCGGAGAGCCAGGATGACAAGTTTGAGAAGGGGGAGATCAAAGAGGCATTCCGTGCAGAGGAGTATGATGGAATCTACCTGGAACGGGGACTTCTCCTATCGTACGAAATGCGGAATAGAGATGCTAGCGATAGGGCCCAAAGGATAATGCCACGCTACTTGGTGAGAGATGGTCATTTTTTCGTAAAGAGGCAAGTGAGAAATCCTAGGAGGGTCGTATGCGGTAGGAACCGTCGAATTGACGTTATAGCTGCACTTCATGATGGCATTGCGGGGAGACATCGAGGAGTTAGTGCCACACATGCCAAAATAAGTGAGCTATATTATTGGGATGGGATGATGGAGATGGTTGACAACTTCTGTCAGTCCAGCATACCCTGTCAAGAGCGATCTCGTCTGAGGCCGAGGGAGCCACTGCATCCAAGGCTGGAAAGGGAAGTAGGGGTCGTAGTACATCTCGACTTACTCTTCATGCCACTCGGGGATCGTGGCTACAAATACATCTTCGATGCGCGCGATAACCTTTCTGGCTTTGTAGATGGAAGGGCTATTCGTACAAAGACCAGACCAGTCTTGGTTAGCTGCATCGAGGAGTGCTACCTGCGCTATCCCTTTGTCAGAGAGTTCGTAATGGATAGAGGGTCGGAGTTTACCTGTCAGGAAGTGCAGGAGTTGTTATTAAGGTACGACGTGGTAGTCAATTACACCACAGCCACACACCCCCAGACAAACGCTCCAGTGGAGAGAGGACACAACACCGTCACGAACCTTCTGGCTAAGTGGACTGAAGGTAGGCCTAATCAGTGGCCAAGGTACCTGAGGGCGGCATTCTTTGTCGAGAATATTATGGTGAAAAGGACCACTAAATACGCACCGGTCACGCTATGGTATGGGAGACACGCTACCTTCCCAATCGAGAACTTCCTAAAGACTTGGAGACGTCAGGATTTGGAGGTCAACCTGTCTTTCGAAGAATTGCTCGATATTCGAGCGCGGCAGGTGGACGCGATAGAGGAAAGAATTCAGGAGGCGTCCAACCAAGTGGAAAGGAGCCATATGGAGGATAAGGCTCGTTGGGACCAGTTGGCGCGAGTAAGGAAAGTACCCTTGGCAGTTGGGGACGTCGTACTCCTGTATGATTCATCCTTGGAGAAGTAGTGGTCCAGGAAACTCGACAAGAGGTGGTTAGATCCCTATTGGATTGCGCGATGTGGAGATTTCGACGCATATCAGATTGAAGAGCTAAATGAGACAAAATGGAAGGATTAGGTTTCAGGAACGAGACTGAAGAAGTTTGTGGCAAGAGAAGAGGTAAGATAGATAATCTAACTTCTTTAGAGTAGGGATGATAGGATGCGTAGATTAGATAGGATGCATGTTGTATGTGTTTGGTTTGACCTGAGCCTGCTTGAATTACCACCTGTTTGCTTACCCCAATGTGTGTCTGTTGTCTCCTTCGCCTATTGTGCAGGTCTGACTTTACGAAGACAACCATGCCAAGAGGAGGGAGGGGGACGCGACCGCCACGGAGGCCGTTGGGGGCATCAGGAGGACACGAGTGGCATGGGCCTCACCACCAAGAGAGAACGCCGGTTTATGACGATGGGGATATTGAGTTGTTCCTGGACGATTTTTGGGGGTATGCAGAGCATATGGGCTGGACCATGACCCAGGCGATCGAGAGGCTGAGAGGAGCTGGCAGGTTCACGAAGCCCATTGCACAAATTCGTAGGGAGGCAAGGACGAGGTCAAAAGTGGAGGCGAGGATGTAGGAGCTACGACCATCGCCTGTGGGACCTGACGGTAGACCGATCCTCCTAGAGATCGGGAATGTGGAGGATTTCATCCCCGCCTTCGAGTAGTTCATGCATGGTCAGGGCATATTGAGGGATGAGTGGGCGAGGACATTGCCTCTATGGACAAGAATGGCGAAGAGACCCTTGGCTAGGCAGGTCAGAGACATGACTCGGGATTGGGAGAGCTGCAGGGCCCACTTGAGAGAGGCATTTCGACGGTCAGAGCTGCCTCAGCCCAGAGTTGAGAGACGCCAGAGGAGCAAGAGGCAGAGGGACCCTGAGCCCAGAGAGACCAGACCATCTCGAGGGGGACGAAAGACACTTGCCAGGCGTGAGGAAGAGTTGGTGCCCGAGACTGAGGAGCGAGGGGCATACCCCGAGTGTGGATTAGGGTCGGTGGAGTTCCATCGCTTTATTGAGGGAGGACTGGGAGGATCTCCGCAGCGCGCACGGGAGGAGATACCAACCTCTGGAGAGCCTCTGCAGGAGTTGGAGGCACACATGGATGTCTCGCAGTGGTGGGTACCACCGACGAGCGAGGGACGTGACGAGCCGGCGGAAGAGGTGCCACGAGAGGAGGTTCAGAACCCTGAGCAAGAAAGGAGGCCAAGTCCTGAGAGGGGACATGTTGTAACGGAGGTGATAGAGGCTGGGGAGGATACTCCCCCTCAGACACCGACGTGGGATTGAGACTGGGGAGTACGCCAGAGGGCACACATGGCAGTGAGGAGGGATCACAGTGAGAGGGGATCCCACTACCACCACCAAAGACGGTCCCTGCGTCGAGAGGAAGGGTTGAGATAGAGAGAGAGAGAGAGCTGACTGGAGGAGAGAGGCCCTCGCTATAATTGAAAGGCACCTGACCGCACACGCCCTTGAGCACCCCGACCTGGAGGAGCCCGTACCTGTGGAGCCACCCCAGGAGCCGCATCAGGCTGAGAGAGAGATGGGAGCGGAAATTCCAGAAAGAGTAAGAGAGTGCTACCAGGGGAGACGGCTGAGGAAAAGCGGGCCAGAGTAGGGAAACGTTTAGAGGAAATCTGGCAGGAGAGACAAGGGTTGGAGGAGGCAGGAGCACTCCCGGATCAGCCACCACCGCATAAGCCATATGGAATCAAGGAAATATGGGATGAGTTCCTAGACCAGCATAGCGAAGGATTGACGGCTTCAGAAAGGGCAGAAGTAGGGACGTCGAAGAAGACATGTGAGTACTTGGACTGAAAGATCCGCTTCCTGACCAAGACATCCTTCGATAGGTATATGATGTTGGAAGCTGATCTGAGAGGGAAGAAGATGAAGGAGATGGGCTATGGAGTACGTCTGGAGGCAGTTGAGGCTGAGGTCCGAGAGCTAGTCAGGCTGTCATCATCGAGGACTTGAGACAACAACCTCGAGGTGGGGCTGATAGGGTTGACGAAGAGGGGCCAGCAGAGGTGATGGGCAGGGCAGAGAGTAGCCGGCATGAAGAGCAGAGACAAACAAGGAATGGCTTATTAGGGCAACCATCCACAGCTGAGCTCCAACAGGGGTCGTCTGTGGGAAGAGTCATCTTGGAGTCTGACGAGGCGAAAGCCAAGAGAAAGGCAAGGAGAGAGACTTTCGAGTTCAGAGCCCCTACTAAATTCGCCACACTGTCTATAGCAGCAGTGGAACCCACCATGCCACCGTCAGTTGAGGAGGGACTGCCGACAGCCAGTAGTAAGTCAGTTCAGGGCTCATCAGAGGGGTCTATGGATGTGCTTCTTGAGGCAGTTCACACCATGCAGGAGGAAGCGAGCTTATTTTCACCTGAGCAGAGGATAGAGGAACCTCCTGAGAGTGAGATGGGGATTGCGACAGAAGGCGTCATCGAGGGCAGGCCCCAAAGATTGGATATGCCTGAGTATAGGCCAGAGGGGGTCGCGATACGACGAGGGCCTAGTACTCAGGAGTTGGGAACATGACCTGAGGAGCCTATGGACATACCTCGGAGTTACGAGCTGGGCAGGGAGGTTAGCGAGGCACCATCATCACCAGGGTCTAAGATGGAGAAGTTCAAGAAGTGGTTTGACGCATCCTGCTTCTTTTGCAAAAAGGAAGGTCATTGAGCCTTGCAGTGTCCTAAGTTCTTAAAGGACCTGGCTGAAGGGAAGGTTATGAAGAGTGGCGGAAATATGTATGATAGACAGGGTAGGGTAATAGAGCGATCTGCCGATGGAGGTAGGGCTCAACTGTACAGGCAAAATCAGGAGCAAATGAGTGAGTAGGGATTGGGTTGCCTACAAGCCAGTAGAGTTAGAGTTCTTTGCACATAGAGATTGAGTTAGAGAAGTACATTTTTGGAGTCAGTCATGTGTGATCTGTCTATTCGTACTATGTAGCTTGTAGTACTTGACAATTGTTTGGGATTTTCTCTTGTTGTAACTTAGGAGATAGTATCCGGTTATGTGACATATCTGAGTGTGCAGTTACATTGTGATTTGTGGGGATAGATTTCACTTGGGACATGAGTGTTACATGGTTGAGTGAAGTGATGGGGCATTCATTTTCTGAGTATACATTGAGTTGAAACCCTATGAGGCTTATCGTTGTGTCGATCACTTTCACTCTGACTGTGTGGCCTTATCCTGATGTATGGTGGCTTTGTGTGAGAGGTGTGCAGGATGCATCTCATGTTCTATGGATGTGAACCATGTAAAACTGTCTACTCTTCGGTATACTCGTGCGGCCTGCGTACGAGCAGATGCTTGAGCCGAGTATAAGGAGAGGGAGTGCAGTCTGTTTCTGTGGGGATTTATAAGTCTCTAAGACCCAAATGCTTCACCATTCCAAAATGTTCTATTGTCGAATTGTGGCAGAGACTCATAAGATGGTCCCTCAGTGTTGAGTTATTTTATGGATAAAACCCCTTCAATATGGGAAGGTGGTAATGTTTGTTTATTAGAAGACTCATCTTTAGAGGGAAAATGTTTTAATGAAAGGTCGTGTGAAAGATCATTCAGGAGAGAGATAGGGATGGTTGGGAGACCTATTGAGAGAGACCGCCTCTGTGTGAAAAGGTGGTGAAGAAATTCAATGGCATGGTAGGCTGATTTTGAATGATAAAGACTGACGAGAGGGACCACGTTTTGCTTGGCCATTAGTGAAATTTTTGTTAAGGTCGCAAAAAACTGCATTGGGAGATGTCTTCGGGATGTGTGGTTTTCTTGCTCTGATCAAGTGAGGGGGCCACGGCCTTGCGGACATGACGGTGATTCTGTTTTGTGATAGTGGAGAGGTTGTCGTGTTCTCTCTGTGTTGACCCACGGAGGGCTGGTAAATGCCTTTTATGTGTGACAGACCTCTGCGCAGTCCCGCAGTAGGCCTGTATTGTTGCGACACACAATTCAGCCGCTTGTGCTAATCTTGGGGCATTTATGAGAGACCCAGCTAGGGGTATAACTGGCATCACTAGGGCGCAACCTCTAGTGTTGGTTGCTGATCGGCGCAACCTGGCAGCGGGCCCACGTCTCGTCAAAAGGGGTAAAGTCTAAAGGGGTGTGGCCACCCAGGAGGGTTTTACCTGCCACGGGATGGCGTGGGATAAGAGTCGAGTCTTTTGGAGTCCTGATTTAATGTTTATAAGGAGAAAAAGCCTATCGTGGCGCAACCTACGAGGACACTACCGCTAAAATAACAGACGCGGTGGGTCGTAGATCTGACACAATCACCCAGGCTACAGTGAGCCAAGGTGGAGACCTGGTCTTCCTGTGCTAGACTGCAGGAAGGGTCTGTGATGAGGTTTATGTGATATATATATTTGACGATATATATATATATATATATATATATATATACTTGATTGTGAAAGTTTTGGGAGGAAGGTGAGAGAGTGCCTTCAAAAGTCTTGGTTAGGGTCCACGTCCGTGGTTATGGCCCTGCGTGCAGGGTAGAGACTAGGGACACTTGAGAGGGGCCGCTGAAACTTATGTTGTAGTATATATATCTAGTAGACCTGCGTCCTAGTGTGAGACAATGGAGACCCAGGTTGGAACCCTCGCTGCATATAGTTGTAAGGGTTTGGATTCTTGGAGGCCTCGAACCTGAGTCCGTCGGTTGATCGTATTGGTTCCTTTCTCGTTAGCATTTGAAATTCTGGAAGGATTTGTAGCTTTTTGATCTGACAAAGCGACAGGGACGTCGCTTAATATAGTCCAGTAAGTTGTTGGTGTGAATACCCTTACAAGCGTATCTATCTTGGTTTTTGCAAGTGACAGAAAATAAGCTCGATTTGGAACTTTTAAGAAGACCGCCGAAGACCGCACGAATCGCGGCAGTCTTTTGCTTACTATTGACTGAAAGCTTGACTAGAATGTCTAGAGGCTGAGAGCTATGAAACACCGGCGGACGCGTCCGCGGGTCCGATCTCGGATGGCGGACACAGATGGGGCCGCGTCCGCGGTCGATCTGGTCCGCGCCGCGATCCCGATTTTACCAGAATTTTCCTGAATTAAATAATAGGTTAAAAAATATATATATATGGGGTTGTAGGGAATTTTAAGCCCTATAACCCCTTTTCTTTTTTTTTGGAATCTGACTTTGTTTAGGATTTTAAAAAAATCAAAAACTAAATTCGATTTAAAGAAAAAAATAAAAAATAAAAAAAAACTAGATTTTTTTTTTGTCATTTTTTATCATGAGATATATGGTCCTTGAGTTCACCTGTATTTTTTTAGAAATGAATTTCTGTTTTTTGCAGGGGTATGAGGTGTTTAAAAAAGATGTAGATGCAAAATTTAAAAATAAAGAAAGAAAAAACTTCAAAAAAAGGGTTTGATTGATTGTGAGTGAGTGAGTGAGTGAGTGAGTGAGTGTGTGTGTGTGTGTGTGTGTGTGTGTGTGTGTGTGTGTGTGTGTGTGT